TTCACTTTATAGATGTTTGTAAAAGGTGACTTAGAATCAAATGGACTTAGACCGTTACTCAAAAAGGTTTGTCCAGATATCTACTAAAATACTCCAGTTGTTGAAACTTTGCACCTTGCCTAGGCAACCTGTTTCAGTGTGCTTCCTAATACTGAACTTAAGGGGTTTTTAGAGCAAATTAAAATTATTTTCCTTACCCTCCCCACCATGACCTTAGAGGACAGTTGATCTTCTACTATTTTGAGCAATGTTTTGGATAATTTGATACTTCTGCAGTGTCCATCTCCATACATTTTCCCCTCCTCTCACCTCAGTTTAGTCCAATGTATAATGACAGTGAAATATTTCACGCTGTTCTCAGCAATGATGAATGCCCTCTGGCCCCAGATTCACAGGCACTGGTGTCACACTGAAGTGTAGTCTACACAAAAGAAATACTATTAAGTTCACCCAGTTTTGTCAGACTCTGCAGGCTCACATCCAAGTGGGGGTACTACAATCCCCCGAGAATCACAGTTAATTGTGTTGGTCCAGTGGTCCAGCTGTAGGCTGGAGTACACTAGTTCCAGTGGTGTACTCTCTTTCCAATGTCCCAAAGTACAAAGCTGTGTAAAAGCAAGTGCCTTTTCACACCAGATATGTATCTGACTAAAATATTTAAAAAATATAGAGAGAGAACAAAATTACTTTAGCTAAGCATTTCTAGTTAAAGAAGATGTTCTGAAAATCATCCCGCTTACTGCAGGAGGATGAATCAAAGCCTCTTGGTAGTTTTAGTACTAGTGTTGTGATTTAACTCCAGCCAGCAGCCAAGCCCCACACAGCCACTCTCTCACTCCACTGCCAGTTCAGGGAGACAATCAGAAGGGTGAAAGCAAGAAAACTCATGGATTGAGATAAACACAGTTTAATAGAGAAAGCAAAAGTCACACACACAAGCAAAGCAAAACAAGGCATTAATTCACTGCTTCCCATGGGCAGGCAGGTGTTCAGGCATCCCCAGGAGAGCAGGGCCCCACCACGTGTAACAGTTACTTGGGAAGACAAACGTCATTACTCCACATGTCCCCCCTGCTTCCTCCTTCTTCGTCCAGCTTTGTATCCTGAGCACGATGTCATATGTATGGAATATACCTTTCGTCATCTGTCCTGGCTGTATTTCTTCCCAACCTCCCATGCACCCCCAATTGCCTCACTAGTGTGGCAGTATGAAAAGCAGAAAAGGCCTTGGCTCTGTGTAAGCCCTGCTCAGCAATAATAAAGACATCTCTATACTGTTGTGTTCAGCACAAGTCCAAAACACAGCCCCATACTAGCCACAGTGAAGAAAGTTAACTCCTCTGGACTTCTGATGCTGTGACTAGATCATAAAAACACTTTGTTCAAGGGCAACCTCACTGTCTTTGTTAAAATCTGGAACTTAAACCTTCTTACTGTAAGCTGCAAACCTGTTCTGACATGTACCTAAGTGGATGCTCAGCCTGTATAGCAGCATCCCATCTTCCAAGAACTGCTTCTCAGTGTTTTCTCCTTGTCAGAACGGACAATGTAGATCACTTTCTACTCTTAAAAAAAAAAACACTAATGCAGAGTTTGACTTTAAGGTAGTACCATTTGATGCTGTTAAGATTCTGCCCCTTTTTTCTTATCCCACCATCTGTTTAGGAACTTCGTTGTACAGTAGATTTTAACAGTTTCCCTCTCCCCAGGTGGCACGGTACACAAGTTAAAATGTTGTCTTGGCTTTGCAACACCTTGCATATAGCACTTATTAAAATAATTGGCTTGTATGATATATGTCTTAATCTTACGAAGTACATGCTTTTTAGGGGTGTCATCACCTGATGAGAGAGACCACATATGACATTAATACCCTGATGATGATTGCAGTAATAAATTGCTTGAACTGCCCAGTCTCTACCCCTTCCTCATTATTTACTGTCAGTTTTAGATTACCACATGTAACAGCTTGTACAAAATCCTGTATGAACAGACTGCTGAATACATTGCCGGTGGGTATTGCTGTCTGCAAGCTACATGCATTCCCACTGGAGCTCTGTACAGGGATGCTTGGGCACAGTGGGATTCTGTTTCATGATTTGATCTAAATAAGGTTGCTATTGTTACCACCAAATTTTTACCACATGTGCTCTAAAAATATATGTAATTAATCAATATGTATTCTCTTGTTCTTACTGTGTTTTTGAACTAGCTTATCTATGTTTTACTTCCTCAGTGGATCCATAATATTAATTTAAACAATTACTTTCATATTAATTCTGATATATGTTTTTCTTCCAGGCCGTTTCTGCTTTTATTGAAGCACTCGTTCTTGTGAAATGAGTAATTATAAGCAAAAACTTGTCATCAGTATTAATGAATGGTATCTGTCATCAGTTTGCATTTTCAGGGTCTGGTAGCCATCGCACCAAAACAGCTGTTTTACTAAAGCTGTCAAGAATATACTGGCATTATTCCTTCTCTTCTGCATGTCCCATGGTTCACACAGATAATATTTAGGCCTGCTCCATTTAGCTTTAAGAAAAAAAAAAGGCAAATAGAAATTATGGGTTATGTGATTCCTCATCTCCATGTGAGTGCCAGGGAACAGTAAGAGACGGCTTCTTCCTGAGGAACAGGGTGTGCGATTCCAACACAGTAACCTGGCCAGCAGAGCAGGAACTGGCAGCTGGGCTCATCCTACCCCTGGCCAGGAGTGGGTCAGCCCTAGCCCTGGGCATGGGCACGTCCACATCCCTGGGGACAGGATGGATACAACTGGAGACTGACCCTGCTGTGGTGTTGTTGGGGCAGGGACTGATGGTTCTGGAGGGTTGAAGTAGGGTCCTGAGCCATAGAAAAGATGGGGCAGCTTCAGGGTGCTGGAGAGGGGTAGTGAGGCTTGGTGGTGCCCTCAGGACTTGACAGTGATGTCTGAATCCTCTTATTACTACAGTACATATTAAGGTTAGAAAGAACTGGTTATAGAAAAAAGTGTACAAGAAAGAAAATGAAGTGGGCTCCAGTCAAGAGTGGTCCAATAACATCCAGCGTTCCCAGACTTCATCACTGGACTCTACTGCCTCATTTCTCCCCTTGTATTTTTACATATGTTTAAAATAGGATACTATATATGTTTTCACCCTATGGGCATCTCCTGACCTGCAGAACATAGTCTCATCCCCACCCTTGTACCTAGTGGTTTTAAGTGACCACTGACCTTCTCTATCCCTTAAGACTTTGAACAGGGTAATGGGTATCACTGAATTCAGGGGGTGGAGCAGAATGCAGTTTGTGGAAATCTGAACCCTACTCATTCCTCTCTCAGGATTAACATTTCCTAGTTACTCTCCTAGGATAGTTATTTCAGATCTGTGCCATCCCAGCACTCAGTCATTCCCAGTTTTCCTCACTTATCTGGGAACTTTGCCTTTAAGGAGTTTCAGAGCTCAGTATTCAAAATGGGTTTATATATACCAGTAAGTCATCTGACTATTGAAATATTACTCTTTTCTTTCTTTCCTTTGGTATTTTATATATGAATCAAACCAACCTTCACAACCTTTTTTTTTACCCTTATTTTGACCATTTTTCGAAGAGAAGTGAGTCTGGGAATATCCCAGACCTGTTCATTCTGTTCCCTGTCTTCCAGGAAACATAATGCTTGGGCTCTTCTTCTGCACTTCATCTCCATCAGAAATGAAATTATATTATTATTATTAGAATATTTTCTTTGTCTGCATTGTTGATAAAGTGAAATGAAGCAACTTCTCTTCCCTGTGTCTTACCCTATTAAAGCAAGGTTACCTAGGATTTGTCCTGTAATGTTTAACTAGTACCAACAGTTTGGTTTACCTTAGTCACTGAAAAAGTATGAAATAAAACTTTTCTGTTCCTCGGACTCTAACTGATTTTTTCTTCCCAATTAACCTTCATTGTTAAGATAGGAATCACTGTCTTTTCCCTGCTGTGGTATCTTCTTCAAAATTCCAAGCAATTCTGTTATAAATGTATATTCTTCTCTAAATTGTCAGTAGTTCTCTTAGTATCTCACCCAATGAGAAAGCTATGTCTTAACAATTGATACATAATGTCTGGACATGAATATTTCAGCCTTACAGTCTGAAAATCAGATCCCGTGGCAGCAGAGGAAATGTTGTTGCCTAAAGCAAAATGAATTTCAGTGTTTTAGGTCTGATTTCAAAGGTCTGATGGGGCTTTGCACTGCATTTCACTGTTAATAATGCAGGATATTTGCACACATAATATTTTCATAAGTTTGGAGGTATCAGAAATTGTAAGATGAGTGATAGTCTTCACTCACACAAAAAGTTTGAGTGAATCCCTTGCACTCTTACTTATTTAAGGACTTCTGCTGGGTGTTTTGGGAAGCAGTTAGGCTGTCTATCTCTACCACAAAAGTATCTGTCTTCTTTATGTGGCAGTTGTGATCTAATTTATTTAACATCTCTGATAATGTGCACAGGAAAACTGTGCTGAACAGTTGCAGAAATTAATTATTAATTAATTGGCTTGCAACCATCTAGCTGTTCACCAAGTACTATCTCCAGTACCTTTCATCATAATTTCTTTCATCTCATTGTTTTTTTCTTTCTTCAACCTTCTAGTTTCTTCCAATCACTTGTTCTGTGTTGATTGAAATCACATTGTTAATTTTGGGAACTGAAGGTTCTCAGCGTTTCTATAATAATCTTAGCAATTAATAATATGGAGGAGATTGACTACAACTTTTTCTTGGTGGGAGAAGGAGACTAAGAAAGAAAAATAGTGTAAGTTCTTGATCTGATTGATTTCTGAACATTTGCTGTGAAAATGGACTTGCTCTGCAAAGCAAGTCAAGGGAAATGATGTTATAGAAGGTTCATATAGCCTTTTGTTGCTTAGTTAATTTGAACTGTTTTTCATTGATCTAGTTCTCCAGCACTACTTTCCTACTTATTTACCTGTCTTTGAGCAGGTTTTGTTTGGGTTTTTTGCAGGTCAGAATTAGCTTCCTGCTGTGATGCAATTCACAATTTTATTGCTTCTCAAAACAACAGCCCACTGGGAAGTAACATGAGTTATGAAGTGGACAGTAAAAAGACCATCCTCATTACAGAGGACATTTTTAAGATGCTGCCTGTGGTAAGAACTGTATCTTTACCTGTTACTATAATTGCAGTATCATATATATATATTGGGCTAGTAATAGAGCTGCTTTGATTCCTCTGGAAAAGGCCCATCAGACTCTGTATGCACTTCTTTATTCACCTTGCAATATGGGGTTTTTTTCAGCCTTCCTCTGCCGTGGTGGAGGCATGGACAGGGTATCATAGATCAGATTAAAGGTAGAGTTGCTGCAGAACACAAGCTATAGCCCAGCTTGGCAACCAGCTGAATTCAGGAGTGAATATTCTGAAAATATTTGCCTTGCTTTTATCATTCCCATTTTTAAAGGCATTTCAGTCTGGAAGAACATTTCGTATTCTTCATATACCCATGCCATTTCTGGTGCTGTCTTGGCATGTAATTTATGAAAGCTAAACACAATATACAATAGAATAAACACAATATAGAATAGAATAGAATAGAACACAATAGAACAGAATAGAATAATTTCAATTGGAAGGGACCTGCAACAGTCATCTAGTCCAACTGTCTGACCAATTCAGGGCTGACCAACTTCAAGCACTGAATAGCAGGGAGAAGAGATCAGCACCTTCCTTGACATTTCCCCTCCTCCCCTCCCCTCCTCCCTGCTCTCTGTGGAGAGCAATGAGGCCTCTCAGCCTCCTTTTCTCCAAACTAGCCAAGTCCCAAGTCCTCAGCTGCTCCTCATAGGAAATTTCTTCCCCCCCTTTTCACCAGCTTTGTTGGCCACTGGGGTGAGGCATTTGCAGCCAAAAACACAGGCTAAGAGAAGGCATCAGACTTTGTAGCTCAGGACTTACAAAGACATACAAGTTCTTGAGACTAGACAAAGAGGTTGTATTTGATTTCTCAAAACTAAGAGCACATGGGAGCCCTCTTACCCAGCTCTGGCATTCTTGGTTTGTGAGATCCCAGCTACCATGAGTGTAGTTCTTCCTAATGCTGCTGTGAATCATTAAGGACTTCATTGCAATATAGGTTACAGTGGTTCCAAATTTAAACTTAATGAAAGAGAACAGTAGTGTTTTATGTGCACATATATGTGCTAAGCTAGCCAGAGTTGTCTGGCCTTTGTGTTCTCCTACTGTCTTTTCAGAATTGAACAAAATATTTGGACATGTTGTTTTGTAACATATTGCCAGGCAACATGATGTTTGCTGCTTTCCCCACACTTTTTGTCTTGTTTGTAACAGTGTCCCATCCTTCTTCTCTTCAGGCAAGCTGATGAGAGAAGGAGGAAGGATAATGCTTTCCATAAGCAAGTCTTGACTCAGTCTTACAACTGGCTTTAATTTCTGCAGTCAAAGTTACCCAACTGCTGGCGTCTCTGTTGAATGTCAGTGCTCCCACAGCAGAAGGGGGTGAACAAGATGTACGAAAAGTTTCAGAGGCTGGGATAACAGCCAACTATATCAATGTCAACTGAAATAGCCAACAATTTACATTCATTTGCTAGGTTGTCATTTGTACTGGTTCTCAAGTGGATGCACTTAGCTCCCTCTCAGCTTCCCCATGGCAAGACAGCAAGCTGTAACAAGAAGAGGAGCAGAGAGATGAACAGCCAGAAACAGTAACCTCGTCAGTGAGGCCTCACATTCACCATGACCTAAGCCAAGGCACATCATTATCCTTTTCAACATCTTCAGGTTCCCCTAATTTCATTTTTTTACTTCAAATGTAGTGTGTGATGACACAAGTGCTGAGCATTTACAAAGTTCCCTTCTATTAGCTGAGAAAGTCATAAAGACTATATGAAAGCCCGCAGTCTGTTACAGTGCAAAGGAAAATGGGTAAAATTTAAGCTATCTTCAGTACAAGCTAGTTCCTTAGCTTTTCAAGGATTCAGTTCACCACTAGATAGTTTTTGTGTTAAGTGTATTTAAAAGATACCCAGTTTTAATAATCCAGTGTTATTCCCTCAAAGTTCTGATGACAGAAGTAGCAGTTCTCAGTCTGTTGGTGCCTGTTTTTCACTCTTGGCTGTCAAGGTCTGCCAACCCTATCTGCCTAAATGCTGAATGCTTTTACTGGGATTTACCAGATTAAACCTGCAGGAGCAAATTGACACAAAGAAACAATCAAAATATTTATAAGGCATTGTCTGTGTCTTTTTATTTGTTTGCAGTCCTCGCCTCTTTCAGTCTATCCCTTCAAGACCTGTGCTGTGGTTGGAAATGGAGGCATTCTGAAAAATTCCAGCTGCGGAGCTGAAATAGATAGTTCTGACTTTGTGTTCAGGTAAGAGCTGCTTCATCTTGCTGAAGTGTGTCGAGTGTTTCTAAAAACTTGGCAGGCTTGGAAGCCTACTAATACCAGTTTGTAGCAATGAGGAAGGATCTTAACAATTCTTTCTTTCTGCCTCTGTAAGGATACTACTGCTTCATAGTTTTCAGAATGCTGCTTCTAATTAGAGAGGAGTCTATATGATCTATAATTGCAAAGACACTTTGCAGTGATGTGAAATGTGATCATCTGAGAACCTGAAATTTCTGCTCATTTAGGATCCCTTAGGAGACTGGTATTAAATGCCACATGTTTACCTCTTGCTTAACAAAGGATTTACTGAGCCTTAGTTTGTCTCACTCATGTAATCATTTAACTGTCCTGATATTTGTCTCACCTTCTGTTAGTCATCTAAAAAATTAAGCATCTAAGTAGGTTTTTTTATCTCGCTGTGTAGACTGGGAGAAAATCAGGTGTACTCAGAGCATTATTTGGCCCACACTATCAGTAGAAATCACACTGTAGTTCCTACAGGGGAACAGAGTAACAGAAGGAAGGTTCCAATCTGCTGGATTTTGTTTACTTTTTTTACTTTTGGCTACTATTTGGGCTTTTGAAAACGTTTTTTAAAAAAAGGTCTGTCCGGTTAGATAACTGTTCTAATAAAAGTGGGAAATCTGCATACTAAAATACTAAACTTACTAAGTGACCAACTTTAAAAAAATGCTGGTTTTGCATTTTACAGAAATCACTGTTTCTACAATAAGGCAAGTTACACTGTTGTTAGAAGATGCAGTAGAAGACTTTCAGTAGAAATGCATTGTTTAGACAAGAGGTATTTCCTAGCAGCTAGTGTAGAGTGTTCATAGACTGGATGCTTCTGGGATTTTAACTGTGCTCCTGGTTTGTGGTACGATTTATAAAAACCAGCTCTCTGTGCCCTATTTTAACCATCTGTACAGTAGATTAAATATTTCTACTAGGAGTGTTGTAAGCCTTATTTAATATTTGTAAAGTGCTTAGACATCCCTGGGAGCTAATGTGAAAGTGTCATTGCACAAGAGAGGAATTTGCAAATAATAACTGTAAAGCATTTCTGGTGCACATCTGTTTAAGCAAATGTTTCTCAATTCCAGGTGTAACCTTCCTCCAACCACGGGAAGCATTAGCAAAGATGTTGGCAATAAAACAAACCTCGTGACTGTTAATCCAAGTATCATAGCTCAGAAGTGAGTACCACCTGCAAATCTGTTTCTGTGCAATGGTGTATAATTGTTTGACATGATTTAAATTTTGTCGGAAATTCACTGGGATACCATCATAAGAGCAGTGCATGCAGATTACCTCATTAAGCCTTAGTTCCTGTGTAAAATATGTACTAGTCTAAATGGAAATCTGTTAAACCTGGCCTTATTTGTAGCAGAAAGGAGTCAGCAATACCCAGATTAGCAAGAGCCTGACACAAGTCAGCAATTTATGGCAGAGTAAAATTGATGATTGTAAGCCCAAACCTCTTCTTTTTCCCCCCATGACCCGCATGACCCCAAGCATTTAGAAAGGAATTGTAATCATAAATAGGTAAAGCCTGGAAATGTATGTCTGATTCTATCAGTAGGACTGTAAGCACATGTTCTTAGGTAAAGTGCTTAGAGGCTGTTTTGGTGAAGGCTGTTTCCTGAATGGAGGTCCAGTTTCTGTAATCCATTTTCTCAATCCATATGAAAGATGCTCTTTTTTCTCAGCAGAGGTTTTGGTGGGTTTTTTTCACCTTCTTGATGAAAAGAAAATCTAATAAGGCCAGGCTGACTAATCTGACATCTTCAGCAGGCTGGAACTGCAGCTTATCTATGAAAAGGACTGCTGTGGCATGTTATTTACTGCTTACTGATCTTACTGTGTCTTATTGTATCTTATGGTCTGTCATCAGGCAAAGCTTTTTTTTTTTTCACCTTGAAAGGAAGAAGAAAAAAGTACAGTGAGTAGACAGAAATGACTAACAGGCTTTTTTCATTGATTCAGGGATAGAATTTCATTTTTTGGAATGAGTACTAACTACGTTAATGCTTACCTGGACCTTTTTGATTTAAATGAAGATGAATTATTGCTTTCCCAAAAATAGATTTAGCTCATTGATGTTAGCAGGGCTGCACAAGAACATGAGGAAGGAAAAGTGTCCAATGACTCAGCATCCTTGATGACTACTGACCTGATCTATGATTTGTCTGGGCTTGATCAAAGTGTTCTGCCACAAATGACCTCATTTTTTAGCCACATTAAGGCACAACAGGGTTAATAGGAGTTACACTGAAGATAATAGGAACTAAACCTGTGTAAGGGTGAAAAGAGATCATAAGAGGACTTCAGAATTTAAAAAAAATATTTATTTAAATATTCAGAGAAGACTATAAATGCTTTGGAAGAAGGAGCAGGAAACAACTTGGTACCGTTTAGCAGAACTAAGTTGGTTTCATCTTTCAGAAGACCTATTCTGACATTATACCCTGTAATTTCTAATTCTGTGTTTGCATACCAGGTTCATCTAATGTTATTATTGTTAAGGTTAATCAGCGTTTGAACTGTGTCTGTCAGGGTGTACGATGTAGGTGAACTCTGTTGGAGAAAAGGACAGTTCTAATGTGTCCTAATGGAACTGGGCTACACTTCTCCTTACAGTGGCAGAGCTGGAAAGAAGGACAAGACAAAGTTGGGTTGTCCAGGTTTCTAGCTAAGGAAGAACAGACATGTGAGTTCTGTCCTGGGGGCCCTTTATGTACTTTACTCTAAGTAGAAATAGAGAAATTCTTGGAGTAGAGGCCAGAAATTCAGCCTTCAGCCACTTTTCCTAGATGTAGGCTCAGGTGTTTCTTGCTTGTTTTGGCTGTGTGACTCTTGCATGCACAGAGGCTCAGGGTCAACAGGAGGGCCTGAGTCTTTCTCATTCATTTTGTTTCAGAGTCTGGTGATAATGGCACTTTTCTGGGAAGCAGAAGCTGTAAGTTTAAACCCCTTCAGGCTGAGAAGGGCTGTATCACTCCTTGCACGAATTCAGTTGTGCAAGAGGTAACTGATAATTCCTCTGTGAGGGTTTTCAATGGAAATGGCAGTAGCTGCTGTCCTCTGTCTTGAAGTGCTGCATGAGAAGAGGGTTTGAACCTGCTCAAGTTGTGAAGGGAAGTGAAACCAATTTTTCCAGTTTCTGTTGGAGCCTTCGTGAAAAGTGGGCTCTGGTAGCCCTTAAAAAGTGAAAATACACTGCTCAAATAGACAACTCCCTACAAAAGAGGACTCAGTGCTTTGAATCCCAAAGGCAGTGCAAGTACAAGTTCAAGTGATTCAGAATAGTGAGATCTATAGAGGACATGAGTTGAGTGATACCCTTTCTTGTATCACTTCTTGGATAACTTGTGAATTTCACTATTCAGTATTTGAGAGCACCAAATTTGAATTATACAGTAGTGACAGCTAAGTCTCTTTGCTGTTGGGGACCGAAAGCAGCCAAGAATGAATGCTCTTCATTTGTGAAGTTAGAGCTCTAAGTCTTTCTAGATCTCTATATGTTCCCTTGGTAGTCGAAGCATATAAACAGACATGCCTGTATTTTTAGCTATTTTAAGAGTATATCAAATGCAAGTAAAACACTACGAAACCTGAGCACACACTAATCTTTAACGCTCACATACATCCTTGTATTTCCACACAGGGCAGACACACAGATTCTGAAGAGAGATTATTTTATACCTATTGATGTAAGAAATATGCAGTACATATCTTAGTGCATGTAGGTTTAAATAGAGGAAGTATTAATGCAGTATTTTTTTTGAATTCTCCTTTGAAATTTCTTGAATCAATCAATTCTATAAACAGGTCCTAGTCACATTAGCAGTGATTTTGATCTGCATCAGTAGCTCCTGTGTTGCCAATTCAGTCCTGTGTAGTGTGTTCTTATTATACAATAGTCCAATTTTCATAACTGCACATATGACAGTGTATAATAGGGTGATATAAATTTGCAGTATAGACAGGCTGAACTGGTGCAGCAGAGTTCATAACTTGTTTATGCCAGTGCATTTGTGGTGTTTTGGTCTGTAATATTTATATCAATAGTACATTCCATTCCTAAAATGTTGTACTTTGCAGATACAACAAGCTAAATGAAAAGAAGACAGAATTTCTGGAAAACATTGCCGTCTATGGAGATGCTTTTCTTTTATTGCCAGCATTTTCCTTCAGAAGCAACACAGCCACTTCTTTTAAAGTATATCACACTCTGAAAGAGTTCAAAGCAACCCAAAGGGCAATATTTTTTCATCCCACTTATCTGAAAAGTCTTGCCCAGTTCTGGAGAACTAAGGGTGTGAAAGCCTACCGGCTGTCATCTGGTTTTATGATCACTAGTGCTGCTCTTGAGCTATGTGAGAATGTGAAGCTTTATGGCTTCTGGCCTTTTTCAAAATCCACAGAGAAGATGCCAATCAGCCACCACTATTATGACAACCAACTGCCTAAACCGGGCTTCCATGCAATGCCCAAAGAATACAACCAGATCCTTCAGCTTCATGGCAAAGGCATTTTGAAGTTGCAGTTTGGTAAATGTGAATCAGACTAAAAAGGTAGGTCCCATTCTTATCACATAAAATGTCTTTATTTCTGTAATGAGTCAAGGGTCTACTCTTTCTTAGAGAGACGTTTCTACCTTACACTCAATGAAAGTTGTGTTCCTAAATAAGTGAAAGTTTGGAGCTTTGTAAATAAATATGTATCACAGAGCTGAGAAATGTTTTCTAATTGTGAGCATTAGATGGGAAGCATAGCTAAATACAGATTATCCCCATAAATCACAGACAGTCAGTACTGTCACCTTATCTCAGATATATGTCTCTACCAACCTATGTTTACTTTGGTATCAGTTCCCAGGAACCAGCCCCCTTTGAGAATCGCTTTATTAAAAACATTCACATATTGTGATCTACAAGAGAAGACACCTAATCCTGGCACAGCCTTTCCAGATGTATACAGGAAGCACAGTAAGGATTAAGATTGCTCCATGAAGGAGTAGCATGCATGTGGCCTTGTTCCCTCTTGTTAGGTAAAAATCAGAGCAGTGTGCTCTTGCATCCTGGGGCTGCAGAACAGTGTGTGGGCAGCAGTGAGGAAGCTGCTATACAGTACAGCAGACCTCGCTGAGGATTTTACCTTGAGGCAGTTCAGAATCTGGGAGTTTGAAATACGGGAGGAAGTGTCATTCTTTTTCCTCTGTCCTTTCTATCTGTCCCATCCCCCTTGGACCTCTGCCTTCTGTGTATTGCCTCAGAGAAATGCAGCACAGTCTGACCTTTGACCTTGAGCCAGTTTACTGTGTACAGACTACAGATGACTCTGAAAAGATTTGTCAACGTTTTCAATCTTGATTTGCCCTGTTGACAAAATAAGACCAATTTGTATAAATACTTCTTCATCTTTTAAGCTAACTCAAAAATTCCTGAGCTCAAAATACTGTTGTCAGATTTGCCTTTCAGAGAACTCCATTTTTCCAGGGGGTTCAAGTTAATATAACAGTAAGTGACGTGTACAATAGAACTGCCATTGTATAGAATATGCTTTAATTTTACTGATGTAATCTCATGACTGTATTACTCAAGTTAAATAAATTAAAATAACATCATCTTGTTCAAGCCGGAAATTTTAAGTTTAAAAGCTAAGGGCTTTTCTTCTGGCTAGATTCTAAAATGTATTTGAAAATATCCTTTGTTGATATCTAGAAAACATGCTACCAAAGATACATTCACACTTGGTTTATTATTGCAAAGTTTTAAAATAGGAGATTGCTAGTACCAAGAAGGCACAATTTTATTTAGTTTCAGGTTTTTTTTTAAAAATGCAGAACTAAACTGCTCTCCTAGATTATTAAAATAATATAAAACCTGTGAGAAGGGACCCAGAATCCATCTAGTGAATCCGCTCTCCTATTCTGTGGCAAGAGATTACCTAGGAGGAAGTAAATTGTATATGCATGCAGTTTCATGTGGCAAAGGTATGCTTTTTTACTTGTGAAAAGTTGCAGTATATTGGAAAGGTTAAGAAATACGTAATGTATTTTTCTTAGTCACTAAGCTGTTAATACCCAACAGTTTCCATTTTATTTATTATTCCTTTAATATAAATCCCTGGAGACATAACTGTGTAATTTTAATTGTAGTAACTACATCAACTAAGAAAATGAAAGACAGCTCTTTAGAAATACTTACTCTAGAGAGAAGTAGATAGAAGCTACAAAAATGTTTAAGCATCTGTATCTGTTAATTAAATGCTGTCCTTGCTTGACAGACTGAAGATCATTTATGTGGCTAAATTTGCAAAATAAGCTGTAAAGAAAAAAAAATGCCACAAGAAAAATAAGTTGTGCTACCCTAATTTACCCTTATATTTCCAAAGAGAAAAAAACAAAGAAATTAAATGCTTTCAGTATGAGCTACCATTCTGTTAGTATTATCAACTATTAGAGGTAATTGAAATTCTATAATGACGGTATTTCACTGAAGATGACCTTTTCTAAAAGTTGAACAATCTCCTTTCTCTTTTCAATTTCCCTTTTATGTTCTCCCTGCTCCATGTTCTTCCTATTACTGGGTATCCGAAGGTTCGTTACACCCCTGGGTGCCCATAGAAGGCTCAGGCAGAACTTTTCTCACATATCACTGGGACACAAAGGTTTGTTGCTGTAAATAGGAAGTGAAGGAAGCTGCTCTGCTGCAAGCACCTATAGGGAGAGTATAAATGCATCCCAGTGAATCATTTTTGGCAATATTGCTCCTAAACACCATCCTTGCCATTGAAAAGGTGAACTTTTCTTATTGGACAGGGAGAATTGCCATATGTTAGAACCTTGTAGAGTCCCTCAACCTGGGAGATTCCATCTGCCTTAATATCTGCTCCTGCACATTTCTGATTATGTTCAACAGACATGTACATGGTTTCAGTACAGTAGGTGCATACCTATCACAAAGGGTGAAATGTAAAATGCAACATCAGCAAAATCTTGAAATGTAATTAAAATAATGGTCTTTATTATTTTGTATTAGATTACCAAATCATTTTTGCTATGGCCCTGCAGCTGAAGGAAGTCTTGTTTGTTCATTGGTTTAACCTGATAAGCCTGAAGGGCATGTCATTAGCTTCAAGTAAACATAGGTTCAAGGAGGGGAAATGACCTGATTCATATTTAAAAATAGAAAGAAAAATCTGATTAGAAAAATTGTCAGATGATAAATTAATCAGACTGGCATGAATTTGATTGCCCAGAAGCCTGGTTAAAATGCAGATTTTGTCTGACCAAGAATCCATCAGGTTTACTGTTTGCTAGAAAAAGACAGCAGGGAAGATAGGTATGTGGGTTTTTGACATACAGAACAGTAACATTAAGCAGCTGCTCAGAGGAGTCAGTCAACAAAAAACACACCAAAAGAAAGAATGAAACTGAGACCCTGAACCTGGGGAAGAAAAGGACTGAGCAGAAGGACTGAGGGAGGAGAGGCTGAGCAGAGGTGTGCTCATGCTTAGGAAGTAAGAACTGCTGAACCTTCGGCTGTGTGAGTGTATCTTACCTGGAAAGTAAAAATTAGGTATGGGGCTTTTTAATTCCAACCAGACGATTAAATGCCATCTATTTCTGAGAGAGAGCAGCAGTGACTCCCTCCACTCAAGGTGGAACTAGCAGATCAGCATCCTGTAGAGCAGAGGGCTGCCTGCTTACTTGCACAGGAATTAAGATCAAAGAGGACTGTTTTGTTCCAAACTCTGTCAGCTCGTAATATTTTTTTAATCTTGAAATTTGCTGCAATATAAGTAAGTGATAAATACAGTTATACATAACCTATTTATAACAGTAGAATACCAACATAAGCTTAAATTCTGCTGAAATTCTTTTATGCTTGTGGTGTCTCAGTGTAGCTAGAGAAATATGAACTGCCTCACAGTTCACTTCTAATTACTTTGAGAAAAATGATACCACATTTTAAAAGAAGGACTCCTGTAGATTCCTGTCAGGCTGACAGATTTCAACCTATCCTTGACTTTAGCAAATATTATCCAGCATGAAATTATTAGATATATGTAATATTGAGAAGAAGGTCTTCTGCGATAGCACCCATGCAGTGCAGCTTTTAAGCACACACTTTGCTCATGCATTCAGTGAACGAAGTTAAGCGTTAAGAATGTCAGTAATGAAACAAGTGGAGATGGGTTGCTTCTGTTTCAATTAAAACCCACCAGAATAGAAAAATATAGATTAAATCAAATTAGAATTTATGTTAGATTTCAATTCAAATGAAAAAGTATTTACAGATCTCCAAGGGTTTTGTTTGGTTTTCCACAGCAGAACTATCCTGTTGAAGACACAGAATCATTTCAATCTTTAGCTAATTCAAAATATGATTAAGATACTATAATTTAGAATATCTCCATATTCAGATTAGCAGTGGATGTGTTCCCATGAAGATACTGGTTAGACCCAGCCATGGTTAGCTTAGGAAGCCTGAAGAGGGTGATGCAGGTGGGGTAGGTGTGAGCAGTTCTGGGGTTATTCAAATGAAGGAACCCTCCTTCAGAAAGAGCAAGTGCTCAAGCTAGACCAGGCACTAGCAGTCCAGCTTACCCAGGAGAATTTTGTGAGCTGATGATTCTGTATAATAGATCTCAAAAGACTCACAGTCTGAAATAAGGATGAAAAAGCATCCTTGCAGAGGGTGCAATGCATACACAGAAGAGAAAGCTATTGGCTTATTTCAAGTATAGCAAGCAGTTTTTCTACTATACAAGGAATATCAATAACATATTTTATTGTTTTAATTCCAGGGTGATGATCCTAAGGAATACAATTTCTGTGTATCTCAGCAGTTCTGTGTTGGATTTGATCTGATGTGATTTTGTGAGCATTAAACTGCATTATTACAATAGAGAAATATTTTACACTTGGAGAGAAAAGGTGGTGATTTTTTCACACAGTGACTGCTACATTTATGAATTTTGAGTAATCATTTTTAAAATACAAAGTAATGATTATTTGGAAAATTCTGAAACTCCTGGCTATTGGTTTAATTGTAGCAAAGCACAATCTCAGGATGGTGGCAACATGTGACATTCATCATGTTTTGCTTCTTAAAGGATCATTAAAATATTTTGATATAAGATCTCTGTTTTTGTTGGTGGCTGCATGAGTTGGCAGTGAACATTTTCAATTAAGAACTTGATCCTGTAAATACTGACATTTGTCTAATGCAAAAAGTGATGAGAAGAGCTACAAAGGAGTAATTAATTCAGAGCCATGTCATTCTTAGCTTGTCCAAGGCTTCACAGATGATAAAATCCCTCAGGTTAGAGATAGTCAAGTGGTTTATGGGCTTTCATTTTGTGGGCAATAGGTAATGCTGTGGATTTAATGGGCTTTCCTTTTGTGAGCAATAAATGATGCTGTGGGTTTAATAGGATCATTCATGTGAGTGATGTTAATTTTGGGAACACATGTATGAAGGACCAGAGCTGTACAGTTATTTATAAACCACTCTTCTTGCTTGTGTTCCTGTCTAAGGTCCAGTTCAGCTCCAAATGAGGACAATGAACTAGGTTTTATGCTACAACCCCCAGAGTCCTGGTAGGGCATGACTTTGCACATATTCCTGCCATCCCAACTGTGTGTCTTGGCTGATACATGAGATGGAATTTTCATTAGAAAGATGATAGGTACCAAACCTTTAATTTCTTCTATTTCTTTTCACCTAGTATAGCTCTTATCAATATGCAACTACAGATAAGGAAACTGCAGTAAGCATTATTAGAAGAATGTTCCTCTTACAATCAACCCCAAACTCTTCTATACCGGGGCATATGAGAAAAGTGACTACACTCACTTAATTTATAACCTATGAAGTTCTTGAGCTTTCAGTTTTCCATATGGTCCAAGGATACATGTGGAGCAACATTCTGCAACGAAAGAAAGTGAATCACATTAACATTTGCAGGAGCTGTGACAAGCAGTTGTGCCCTAGCTATGGCTGCTTGTATGTTACTGCTTATATGCTTGTATGTTCTACTGCAGGAAAAAGAAAAACAACAACCAACCAAGCAAACAAAAAATTGTAATAACCAGATTCTGTTAAAAGAAGAGTTTCACTGACTTTTTTTGAGTATCCTTTGAATGCTCAGTTCAAAGATAGTGTCCTTCTCCTCCTTTTACAGCCAGATACTTTCAGGTATTTTATTTACTAAAACTCCTTTTGCTAGTGCAGCATTAAATTCCAAATAAACTGATTTAAAGAGCTTTCAGTATTCCACTCCTTGAGGATTATATCTGCAAAATTATTCCCACTTAAATGAATTGAACTTTATAAAATAAGGTTCAAAAAGACCTTTTGAATTGATAGTTCATAAGAGCATTACTTTAGTGTTGTAATATTTGAAAGCTTACCTTGCAGCAGTTTTATAATCACGTAAACACTCCCAAAAGTATTAGAATCAATCATTATGGTTACAGGTCTGTTGGTTGAGACACATTCAACATCTGGATCCATTTCCATGATAATGATATCATAATGATATCAGAAGCCTGTACTACTCCTACTCCAGCAGAAGTGTCCATAAATCCTGGTTGCAAATATCAGCAGTAAAGTCAATTTCCAAAAATAAGGGGTTTTAAAAAATATATAGTGCTTTGGGGCATTAACTGATGGCACTAATACACGTGTGAACCTCTGAATGTCAGTAGGGCTTTTAACAGAAACAAAATAGCAGAACTGAGTCGATGGGTCCATCTGCATTACCAGCTGGTGACTGAAAGAGGCAAGCACAATAGTTTGATTCACTCTGATCTGTTCTGGTTCCAGCACCACACATCCACATTTTTTCTTCACCAGTAGTAAGATTTTTGTCATTTTCTGGCCACAGGCACCTGCTACTTATGTGTAGAGAGCTGGCTGCTGCAAGAACCTGTATCCACGTTATGAGTGTTATGGATGGTTGCCTACTGCAACATCCTAGTTATAGATCAGAGACAAATTTGTTCCCAGAAGAGCTCCTCCTATGCCATACATCACTCACATGGACTGCCCCTGAGTGTTTGTAGCTGGAAGCTGTGCAAAGTGATGTAGTTGTCCTTTGGGTGATGCAAACAGCCCAGGTTGAGAAAAAATATGCCATATTTCAAAGGCACACCTGTGTTCAGGTAAGGACCGTAGCTTATTCCAGCGCAGTGGGATGATCTTGGCTGTGTAGCAGCTACATGGTTTGTCTTGGGGAAAATTCATACATCTTTTAGAGGTTCTTGCATCTGTTGTGTCCAGAACAGTTTCAAGTGGTGGATCAAGGGTTGGACTTGATGATCTCAGAGGTCCCTTCCAACACAACTGATTCTATGATTCTAAGTGCTCCATGTGTACGTAGAGATAATGCAAAGAGCATCATTTATTGCTCAGGCTAAATTCAGTTAAATACTTGGCATGAGTAAAGGGACAAAACTTGCTTGTGTGAAGTTGAAGATGGGGAGAGGAGAAAGTGAAATTTATTTGCAGCAGAGACACTTGTTAGTTAGCACCATATTGCATTATCTCAGTGAATAAATCTAAATAGTGTACCATGACCCACCATGAAGAGCTGTTACTGTGTGCCTGGACTATTTCTGTGCAGCTATGTTATTTAAAACACACATGTACTGGTAACTGGAAAGATTATTGGAATACATTTTAAGAGAGGTTTAACCAAACAGAAGAAAGTTATTCTAGCTTCCTTGATGAGGAAAGATCTTAACTGAAGAAATGTGATGTAGCACTCAAATGAGAGCAAATGGAAAGCTCTGTAGCATGGACAGACACTTTGACTTTTTAGCACTGTTTCCACAGAGTTTAAACTTGCCGTTGACCTGAAGACCTGATCTTTCATGCTCTCAAAGCCCTCAGTGATTTGTGTGGAGCATAGGACTGATAAGAAGTGCATGGAGGAATTGTTAGCCTTTCTTACCCTGTTCTACAGAATGCTCTTAACTCCTTCTAGAATAAAAATATGCCCTGTTGGGCTTTAGATTAAGAACCTCAGGCCTTGCTCCAGACATGAAGTTATTATGAGATATTAGTTGCATCCACTTTTCTCTACAAGAGTGCAGACCTTGTACTCAGCTTTATTATAGCTACTGGTGCTGTGTGCTTGGTGGCTGGGTTGTGTTAATTTGTGCACAGACTGGAAAGCTAATAGTGGCATTTCTGTGTGACAGGGTAGAGTTAGATTGATCAAGACTTGCTAAAGTACACTCACTGTGGGAAATTATGTTTTCCTGGGTAGCTGAATAAATTATCTCTCATTTATTTTACATCTGTGCCAGGTTAATGTTGAATAAATGGGTTTTGTATCTGGCTCAGAATGCTTATGACACTTTTGCAAGACTGAGCCAACTACAGTTTTGATTAAGGATTCTTGTCTAAAAGTTAGGAAGGACCTTTCAGTTCCCTCTATTTCACATGAGGAATATTCATTTTTAGGGTTTGTGGGCCTCCACTGCTGTCACATGCTGTGGAATGAATATTGAGATTAAATGGTTTTCTAAATATAGAGACACTGACAACATGCTAATAGTTCCATTGTACCTCTACAGAGGCTGACAGTGTCCTTGCACATGACTGCATCACAGCATTATTACATTAAAGCCTGATTGGCTGCTTTTATTCCTTCTTCTCCCCTTAATCTCTAATGTTGCATCTTCCTTTAGGATCCAGTGCTGCCTTGAGTTGGTTTCTTGTCTTTCCCCATGGAGTACTATTTAGTCCTGTGTAGTGTCTGTTAGGGAATTTGTGTGATTATGAATCAAATGCTGCTATGCTTGCAGCATAGTAAAACATACTTTAAGTGACTTGGTTTACACTTCAAGGAAGGCAGCTTGGTGGGATATTCATGTTGCCTAACTGGAGGTGCTAAATTTGGTCTGTAGCTGCATGGTGACTTAAACTGTAATGCCTGGCTACACAGTCCAGTTCTCATTCTTGTGCTGCACCCCTTCCTTTGTGCTGTCTCTGGCTCTTGCCTGATCCTACACTCAGCTGTTGTGGCACACTGAGATGGCAAAACCCTAACATGGTAACAGAAAGAGAAAATTTGTTCATGCTAAGAGAGCCAGAGGAATTCAGACTCAAAAGAAAGGAAGAGATGAGACCATGCAGGTGGGATCATAGGAACACAACAGGGGCCATTTGTTATCTGACAGCTGTTGGGCAGGTCCAGTGGTTCCCTGAGTGCAGAAGTAAAAACCTCTGGGGATCTTCCTGGTCAGAAGGGAGAGATGGGCTCTTGCAAGGGGGGATCGCAGCATGACAGCTGTTCTGGTGGGCAGGAGCCCGTCTCTCCCTGTGGTGCCAAAAGATGATGAAGGTACCTACACTAAGAACTCTAGGTGTTTACACTGCTTGATTATTGCTCCCCCTTCTCTCTTTACAATTACAGTCATTTTAACAAGCTGTTCACCACAAAAAGATTCAGAAATGATAAGTATAAAAAATTCTCAGTTCACTGATGGTAAACTTATATAAACTTGCTTATTATTCAGCATGCCTTTGCTATCAATCACTTCTAATCCTAGCATCTCAAACAGCATCTGCAGAGAACAGAGCTGCATGAGGTCTAGAGGGTTTGAGACCAGTTACTCTCACTTTGATTTTCTTTCCTTTGTACAGTAGTGAGATGACTGACCTTAGCACCATGCTTGAAACAAGATGAAATTCTCTGTCCTGTGTGATTTGAGAAAGGGAACTAAATTATCTAGGTGACCTAGAACGCTCTGTGGATCCCAAAATTAGTAGCAAAATATTCCTGCTGTTATGTATTATTTGATTTTGTTCAGCGCAAGTATCTGGATAAGTTAATTGGTCTGGGTTAATTGATCATGTACACCTTGAGCCTGCACAGACTCTGTGATGGAGCTACAGCCTGACATAGCAATCTTTTTTTGTCCTGTCACTTGCTGACCTGGGACAAATCTGTGGAGGGAGATCCTGAATATCCATGCAGCAGCTTCTCCAGGGACTCTCAGGTGCACAAAGCACACATCCACTTGTGTACAGGAGTCTGTGTGAGATCAAGCCCAAGGAATATTCTCTGGAGTGCTTTATTCTGAAACAACTCAATGTAAAATAGCTGATAGCTGCTTGTTGCACACTCTGGAGCAGCAGACTTCTTGCACATGAGCCTTTTCATTAATGTATCTTAGTCTGAAATATTCAAAGCCAGGTAATCCTTCCTCTTGTGGTACTTCAGCAGCTGGTTTCTTTAATCTCTAGGTCTGCTAGCCAGCAACACTGACAAGGGGATGGGTATTTACCATAGAAACCCAACTCTCTTTATTTGGAATTCTGTCATTTTAAGCAAGAAAATTATCCTTCTCTGAGTTTCAAAGGCTGCTGATCTCTCAGGGTAGCATGGGGAAATCCATTAGGTTTTCCAGCTACAGCATACAACAAGTGTGCAGATTTATATTTATTAAGCTTTGTTCCAGATTTTCATAAAGTGTTTCTTAATTGGCTCAAAATTATCATTATGATCAAGTAGAGCATGAAACACTCTGCAGCATGCCACTAAACAAAGGAACTATTGATATTATTTAGTGGTCTTCTTTCATAAATGCGCATTTCACAGTACCTTCCTATTCTGGGAATGCCAGCTCACCAAGGGAATGACCCCAGGTTACTGGGTGATCGTGCACTGGTCCAGCTGCAGTAGCAGCCTGTGAGTATGCTCTTGGTGTCAAGCAAATTCCAGCAATGCAAGAGCTTAACGTGGTAGGAGTACACCAGCTTGAGTTTCCTATAGACCAGGGAGTAAATGTAGTACTGTGGTGTGTGATAATTGAGCTCACGTCATTCTGTGCACAAACAATAACTGCCCTTTTGTAGCAGGTGTTGGCAAATACTAGTTTAAGGATGAAAAGAGTCTGGCTGTGCAATACAAGAAGGAGTGGGATCCTCGTGTTGCAATCAAATGAACAGTCAAGTCTGTCTCTTGCTAAATCCTGATGTACCTTCAGCAATACATCAGTGTTTGTTGCTACACCTAGTACTGCTGTGTCTCATCTTTTTTCATCCCTTTTCTCCAGTGAGGGAGAAAACTCACAATGCATGATGGAAGTATTTAATGATCCCACCATGTGTTCATGGTATCAAGGCAAGAGCCCATCAGAATGAATCATGCTAATGGTGGTGACAGGATAGCCTACTCTAAGACAATATTGCTGGTTTTAAATTCCTCACTATTCACTTTAGTCCCTGACAAGAGGAGATTCTTCACAGCAAGTCTGTAGTTCAACAACCTGCTAGGCTTCTCAGCTCTTGAATTGGCTGTGATGTTTCCCTAGAAACACCTCCTCCTTGGTGTACTTATTGTCAGTGCTTACAATGCAAACCCATTCCTAAATTCTTGTGACACTGAAGTATAACAACTAACATTTCTGCATGTTTTATATGCACATTTTATATAGTAGCTTCATATGTATTCTTCATGTTAATATTCTTGATATTCTTTTCTTTGAGTGCCTAATTAAAATTATTTTAAATATTCATTATATTTTATGCCACCAGAGTAAAGTGTGTGGGAAGTTACATAATGTCACCTAAAAAACGGTGATGCAAGCCAAAATAATTTTAAGGGTATCTGACTGATTTCTGGAGGAGTATTTTCACTAGTCATTTGGACACTTGCTTCTTAGGTCTACCTTTCTAAGATGGGTCTAAGAGGCCACCTCTGCTTCTAATTTAGTTCAAGATCTGCAAGTGAGAAGACAGGTGAATGGAGAGGTCCTGCACAGGGCTGCTCCTAAGGGATGGCAAATGTGTGGTTTTTCTTTTCAGAGACTGTTCCATGTGTTAAAATGTAATTCCATAAAGTTGTCATGATAGCTTTTGCCCAGAAGTTTTATTGTCTCTTAAAATGTGTATTGTTTGCATTCATTTTAGCTCCATTCTTTTCAGTGCAATTATCAAAGCAGAGCTTATTCCCCATGGAGCTGGTACAACTGTGCTCCTCCACATGCTCCAAGCTCTGTGTGAAGCTGCTAGTGTAGGCTCTGCTACTGCTGTTCCAAAAAGGTTCCTCAAATTCTCTCAATGCTGAACTTAATTTATGTTTTCAGATGTGAACTTGATATTGTCCGAGTAGAATGTGTGCAGCGTAATATAGAAATGTCTCTGCACAGGGTTTAGGAGGAGGCAGGAGCCCCTCAGCTGTGTGTGTGCTTTTATTACAGAAAACCAAGATAAAGTTGTATTGTTGAGTCATCTGTTACAGCTCATTTAATTTGTACTTTGTTTTCATGTTTTAAGTGCCTGATGATTTTTTGTCAAGGAGTCAATGGTTTCACTGTTATAACGCATACTTAGAATTCTGTACTTGTTACCTATTCTGTAATAGAATATTTTTGCAATTTCTGTTTGGAAATAAAGACTTATTAGGCATAATTGTGGGGGTGTTATTCTTTTGTGAACTCCTGTGACTAAGCAATCAGAAATCAGTCTTCTGAGGCAGCAGCACAGAAAATGCATTAGTCTGATTCTTCTGCAGCAGTATTAGCAACTGACAGTAGGAAGGCAGACAGTTCCTTAAAATTGTGCAAGGAAAAAAGCAAACTGTGCTTAAAAGCAGGTAGAAGAGAGGGGGTTGGGGCACTGGTGTGTGTATGAGTATCTGTTGCTTAAATAATATCTCCATGTGATTTCAGTCTTTCCTGTTCTTGAATGGCAACACAGTTAACCATCTTCTCTTGTTACTTCAAATGACTTGAAATACTTTTCGGAAATTATTTATTGAAGAAAAATCAAATGAGGAAAGGAACCAAACACATTTGAAAACTATCTCTAAAAATAACTGAACATTTTGAAAACAATGATTACTGAAAAATGTTAAAACCACTGATGCAAAAGTTTTTCATGCAAAATACCATGAATGCATGTCTGATAGATGTGTATCTAGTAGATTTCTACACGTTTTAGTGTCTTATGTGGTTTTTTTTTCTTAATATAGGTTTTTGTCACATACACAGATACTTACAGTGAACAAATTTCAAAAAGATAAAGTTCAGAGAAAGAATTTTCCCTCCAAGCACTTACTTTTTACTTTTGGACAGAAGGCAGCCGTATAACTTCTGTGCTACTTACTGCGACTTCTCCAAATAGAAGCTGACTGCCTCATTAAATCAGGTCAAATATGTACATGCAGCTGTTTTGTGAGGAGGACTATTATCCTTTAGGGCCCTCTAGGGACTGAGCTGCAATTGGCAAATTTTATTGCAGACGGAACAGAGGGTTAGAACTGAAAACTTTTATTTGGCCTCACAGACCATCAAGTGGCTTCTGCCCAAAGATTAAGATTGGATCTCTGTGGCCTCCCTCCTTCCCATAGTGTATGAGTCTTTTACAGATGATCAAAATCAAAAAGTTTCTTTTGTTTGTTGTGCTGACATCTGGAATTGCATATATAAGTGATGCAGATGCAAATGTGTACTCATATTCAGAGCAGTTTCTAAAGCAGAAGTGTGGTTTCTGCCGTGGAAAGTAGGTGTCTTAGATTGAGCTTATCCATCTCAAATATTTATGAACAGCCAAATGTTGACAGAGCAACACTGCCTGGTGATCAGAACTGCTTGGTTCAAATGCAGAATAACTGAGTGCTGCCCTAGACAAAGCGTTGCCTTTTCCTCATCTCTTGCTTAGAAGGGGAGCAGTCTGGGAAAAGGCAGCTGGGCAAGAGGAGAGTGGGAGGAAAGCCACTGTGTACTGAGGTTGTGCCTGTCAAACAGTTGTTGTACCTCTGGATTACACCAAGCACAAACTGTTCTCCTAGAGGCAGAGCATCTCCCGTCAAGATGGCACTCCTGCTGTGGAAACACATGGTCACTGGTGTTAGAAGGGCTTAAGAAGGAATGTTCCCATGAGCAATGATATTGTCCAAGACCAGGTTGGGTTTTCCTCTTGGCTCAAAATACTGTTAGGCAAAAAGTGTCATGTAAAGATGTTAAAACATGAGGGCACTGGGTTAGTCCAGGAGAAGAGAACGGCCAAACTCCACAAGTTGAAAGCCATGCAGTGGACTAGAGAAGCTGGAGTCACAGCCAGAGCACAGCCAGCAGCTGGAAAAATACACATATGGGCTGAGGAAGTGGTCAGAATTTTAAAAACTGAGGGGAGGTTGCCTCCTTCTCACAAATCTCAGTATGCCCATGTTCAGGTTACTACATGTGCCTGGGTTTTGAGATACACAGCTAAGTTTTAGCTTGCTTCTCCCATCCTGTATCAAGTGTCTGTGTCATTCTCACTGCACCACAGCAAATTAATAGTGAATAGGAATTTTAAGGTCTCATGGCCTCTGCAGACTGATAGATGGAACCATCTGGTTAATGGAGATACCATAATGAAGGCATTAGTTTTTAAGTATAGCAATGCAGATCTTTTATCATATAAGGGATAAAAGAGAGAGCCCACTGAGGACTGAATTTAAACTGCTGTCTGTTTTCTACAGCCCAGGCAAACAAAGCTGAATTATTCCACAAGCTCACATCCTACCACTGTTGTTGGAGGAAGAAATGCTGAATGTGCTGGGAAAAAGATATAAGCATTAGAAATGGAATAACTTTCATGTTTGAAATTACTTTTACTAAGTAATTTGAGAGACTTGTAGGGAAAAAATAATCTGACTGGATTCCAAGTGCAGTTCTGCTTGTGTAACTCCAAACCTGCAGGGACATCTTTTTAGCTTTTAATCTTCTTTGTAAGGACAAACATTGCTCTGTTATTACATGTGTGGAGTTTTAATGGAGTAAAATCACTCAGAAAAGGTCCCTCAATTTGAACTGCCCCTCTAATACTGATACTTCCCCTTGAACAATATGCATTGTGCAAAACCTACTGTGAGCCCAGGCGGGACCCCGGGAGTGGGCTGCAGCCTCCTGCTTTCTCTGCCCTCTAACAAAACACAGGCACAGCTCCTGCCCGTGGGCTACTACTGACCCCCACCCAGCCCTGTGATGTGCCTAGGACTCCTGCTAGGAATGTAGCAATGATGGGTCTGAATCACCTGTAGGAGAGGAAGGAGTTGAGGCAGGTGGCAGCATGCTGCCTCAGTAAATGTCCTAAAGCTGGACTGTGATATAAAAGAGAAGCAAAAGGACTCTTACCCTAGATAGATTTTAAATTAATTGGTTCTCTTTTCAAAAATACAGGATTTTTAAGATCTCCAGTTTAAAGCTGGATCTTCATCAAATGATAGTATAAAATAACTTATTTTTAAAAAGCCAGACATGTTGAAGCACTGAATGGGCCAGAGTGAGAGGCAGAACTAGCAGCTGTGACACAGATCTACCAGTGTCCCTGTGCATCTCACCTTGCTGTAAGGCCGAGCAAGATGGCAGAAGGAAATAGCCTGAGATTCATCTCACCAACCAGTCTCCAGTTCAAGGTAGGGAGATTTGTATGCCCAGCCCCATGATCCATAAGTACAGGAGTCTACTTCACAGTCAGGGTGACTACTTTTTATATAAATTTCTACATCATAAAAACCTACACTTATTAGATCAGTCCCATCATTCCTGTCCTGCACTTTCCCAATCTACATTGAATGTTTCTTTTACAGTGCCCTAATCATAGAGCTCTGAACTCTGTTGGCCCTATTCACTCTGCTGCAATACAGATAATAATTTCTAGAATGAAATCTCTTTTTCTGAATATATTTAGCATTTTTCAGTAGAGTCTAAAATAGAAACTCTAAGAACATTAACTTAGAGCACTTTTCAAGTTCATCTTACTCTCAGTCCTTTAAAGTGAAGTGACAACTGAGGTATGACGTGAAGTAATTATACTGATTGTGTTGTATATGCTCTGCAGGAGCTGAATGATTTGCTGAGGATATTAATTTCAAAAGTCAGACAGCAAGAGATCAGATGAGATGAAAGATCACTGCAAAGTGACCTCAGACCAGGGGAAAAGAAAAGGAAGAGGGGGTAGTGTGGCCCAGCTGAGGAGTTCAGTGCTGTGCAGTCTAGCAGTGAACTGAAGAAGATGCATTCCGACAGCAAAGGTGGTTTCCATGAAACTGAATGTAGGTGTCATCACTGCAATTCAAAGTCACCACTGTGGATTCCCTTTGCGGTCTTGGTGAGAAGTGGAGTATAACTCATCTGACTTGTTTTAGGTGTCTTCATTGGGATGTGATAAATCATGCCCTAGATTCCATGCTTTATGAAGAGAGTGTAGGGTGACTAGCTGGGCCACCCTCTTCAGTGTGCTGGCCCATAATTCAGTGTTCCACCCTGAGGGACTGTGGAATGGGTGAAATGCAGATACAACCCCAGACTGAGCTACCATCTACCCTATTCACACAAAGCTGTGAACAGGGAAATAGTAACTATAACATCACTTAGAAATAGCATATGATGAGATCAGGTTGATAAGGATTCTCTGAAAGAGAATAGGGATAGATTCACCTATGCGAATAACAAACATAGTGAACTTAATTTCTTTGACCTCTAAAACAATTTTCATGGTCACAAAAAGTTAATCAGAATGTAAAAGCTCTTTATCAAATGTTCACAGAAATCAGTATTGGATTTATATACTTGAACTGTTGTGCAGCCCTGAATAGATACATTAAAAGTAGTTTAATCCGATTGTACTTTGGCTTTAGCTTAGTTCAGCAATCTAGCAATGCAAGTAAAACTGCTTTCACTTAGGGATTGTCACTGCTTCACTTGGATAAATTCATTAGCAAGGCATAAAGTAACTGTGAGTCTGCAGGGCTTTGGTTAAGCCATGGGCTAGATCTTCCTGAGGGAACCAAAAACTGGAGGTAAGTAATAGCCAGTTCTCAGTGTAATACAACACTACGAAGAGGATATAATGAAGCTTGAGTGGGCAGCGTAGTCCTTGAATCTGGATATCCACACTCAGAGAAAGGTAAGAAGTGGTAAAAGCATGATTCTGTGCAGGGACACCCACACTCATGTTCCACACGGTTTCACCTGTCATTTACCAAAAAAAGCATCAAACTACTTTAGTTTCACTAAAGTTTTGACTTGGTCAAGAAACAGTGTTGTGGCACACCCAGACCAAAACAAAAGTCTGTAATCATCATGGTTATTGCTGCTACTGACTCATGGACTTCATGGAAAAACACAGTCCTTGAGCTGAAGGCCCTGGGCTCAAGGGCTCTGAGCACATGTCCAAGGATCCCTGGTCCCTTGTGGTTTTGGCTGCTCAGGCTCAGCCTGTACTGAAGAAGAGCCTGGCCCATACAGCCTGCCCCAGGGTAACCATTTGGGCTGATACAGCCACCTTCTGTAGTGAGAAACAGGCCCTTTATCCCATCTATCACAGTGCTCTTATGCCTCCACTGACAAAAGAGAGCCAATTTGAACAAGAGGTTTAGGTTTTGGCATCAAAAGATCACCTTGCTCACTGATTAAGGTTGT